AGGTAATTGTGATTCAGAGAAGGTCACTTCACCCCTCTAACTTTTACCTAATTCTGTAATGTCAAGGCATGTGCCCCCCCTCTACACTTGCTGTCATGGAAACCGCCTGATCACAGACTTCCCCTTTAAAAACTCTGCTCACTCAGGGCTCAGAGTCCCACTTCTCTACTGCTGCGTCGGTGAGACTTGGGTCCCAAGTACGATTGCTCTCTTAATAGCTCTCTTGTTATTGCATCAAGTCATCTCCTGTTGGTCTATGAGTGTCCTGTGATCCTGGCATTACAAGATAAACAGTTCTCCCATGAAAATAATGCAAGAGTTACTGAACACAAGAAGAAATGTGTACGTTATGGAAAATGTGAACCTTGTTCTTACAGGGAACAAGGCCCTGTGAACTTCCTCAACACCAGCAAAATGTGTCTAATCAGAAAACGTAGATTTTTGTAGAAAATATTTTGTGTAATAATGTAAATAACATCATTTCAGTGGGTTCATATGTATTAAGATATGTCCATTTTTATGTCACACAATGAATATGAGTGTATTTCAAAAGGTATGCATGTATATACAGAGTACCTTGATGTGATAATATTAGTAGGAGTTTATGTAAAGCTCCAAATTGATTTAAAAGTATACATTAAATATGTACAAAATTTATGTCATTTATAACTCAGGAAACTGAAAAGAGACCCACTGCCTGCCTTCATTTCTCTTTGGTTTGTTTTCTGTCATAACAGTTCACTTTCAGCTTTGATATGAACACTTTGTGGGACAATATGCGCTACAAATGTGCCTGGTGCCTCTGGAGGCCAGAAGAAGGTGCTGGATCCCCCCAAAGTGGAGTTACAGACAGTTGTAAGCTTTTATCTAGATACCAGGAACCAAATGTGAGTCTTCTCAAGAGCAAGAAATACTTCTAAACACTGAGTCACCTCAGGCACCTGGATATGTGTTATTTTTGCTTATTGCATACAAGTATGCATATATATACACAAAGTTCATGCCTGAAGCCTGCAGAGAGCAAAAGAGTGTGTCAGATTCCTTGGAGCTAAAGTTAAAGACAGTTGTTTGCCACCAGATGTGTACTATCAATCAAACTTGGGTACCCTTTATGAAAAGCACATGCTTATAACTGCTGAGTCATGCCTCCATCATGGTTTAATTACATGTCTAACAAATTAAATAGGTTAATACTTCAACTTATGATATTCAATGTTGTGTTACCTAATTCCAACTTGTTTTATAAAGAACTGTTGCTTAGGTACTCCGTTATCTATAGAAGGGATATAGTAACTTACCTAAGATCACATCTCTGGAAAGCCGTGTCAATGTCTATGTTAAATATTATTGTTTTCCATTATTCTCAAGATTACATAGTATACTATTCATTCAGAATTTATTTTTTATTATCTATCTGTGATAGAATTTAAAATTAAATTGACTTGTTCAACAGTCTTCTTGATGATACCCTACCTGAAGGTGATCATCGAGGCTCATATGTGTGGATGAGTCCTGTTTTATATCTTGTTGGTTTAAAACATGAACAAATCCATTTATCACTAATTCATGGAGATATAGCCTTGGATTTTGAACACTGTTTGTGCTCTAACCTTTAAGATGGAAGCACAGTTTGGATCTAACTTCATTTTACACAATTAAGAATAAAGAATTTGTACAAGCAATTACTATCCAGTTAGTCATGACTTTAGAACAGGCAATTTATTTACTACAAAAGTTTCTTCCTATGGTCTTGTGATATTAACATAAATTGAATTTTATGTGAAAAAGCACCTTTGGATATGTTTACTATGTCTATATCTTAAGGCACATGACATATTCCATGAATGTACATAAATTTTGATTATTGAACTTGCCTTATTGTTACATGGATTACATTTACATCTTACAGAATTCCATATTGCACTACAAAAACATTTGTTAAAAGATATACAAACTTACTGTCTTCAAGTCAGTGCTTTCAGGTCCAAAATCATATAAGACAATTACAGACATATACACATACACTGTGATAGAACCCTTTTCCATTTTAACTTATACTTTTAATTATTAAATGAAAATGTTTTATTGGCTTGACCACAGTAAATTACTTACGAATAATGTTAGATCCTGAGCTTCCCTTGCTTATGAGTAAGGCTTACCTGCCATGATAGAAGCTAGTCTGTGTTTCTGTCTTCCATAGATCCCATTTCAGTTTTGTTCAATAGCATTTTGTGGAAGGCATGGGCCATTGCATGCACTGCATTCCATATGGAATAGCTGGGCTCAGAAATGGTCATCATATCAATTTTTTCATGCTTAATATTTAGTGAAATATTTGCTGGGCAAGGTTTAAGAACTTTACATGGCAAAGCAGAAAGTGAACAAAAAAAATGTCCATCCAGAATTTATAGAAGTAAAAATCTCCCGGGTACCAGTTTGGTGTAAGATCCTCAAGAAAGTTCTTGGAGCCAGGGATAGTTCTCTTCTTCGAAAATGAGACATTTCCTCTGAAAAAAGTTTATCAAATGATACTCCTTCCTTGCTGCAGACTCTAAATATATGAAGTGTTGCTTTGCCATGATCCACACGTTCCCTCTGGCTAAAATGATTTTATTATCAATGCAGAATAACAGCAAGTCATCAATATCACCATAGAATACCTGTACATTTACTTGTGTAGGTTGGTTCAAGTCCACCAAATCAGCAACATTTTTAAACCCTAGCTTCCAATAAGGAGGAAAATTTTGTGTAAAAGCCACACAGATATCTTCTGTTGCCGTCTCTTCTTTCAGGTTAGAGAGGAACTCCTTTCCTTTCAGATCATCAACCACAAAAGCCCCACCCAATTCCAGCCGAAGTATAGCAATAAAGAGATCACCCCATGGGATAGACCTCTGTCTTTAGGAGACATCTGATAAAGGGATGGGAATGTAACTTTGTCACTTAGCTCAGTATCAAAAGGTCCGTATGTGACCTGAGGAAGCAAAGAAAAAAAATGTGATTCTGATGTCCTAGGTATTTGGGGTCATCACCCTAAGAGAGGAAATAGATTCATTATTCATATATGAATTCTTTAACTGAGTGATAGCAATCAGAGTTACACTGTGGGTTTTGTATTCTTGCTTTTTCCTGATCTTTATACTCACCCAGTGGTTTCTCTGTTTGTACTAATGTCTTCTGACAGATGCTTTGCTTCAGTATAGACTTAGAATAGTCAGTAGCAGGAATATACCTAAGTAGATATTCTCTATGGCTGCTTGTCTGAGGTCTATTATCCTGAATGAGATCTTAAAAATTCTTTGGAATGTTTTCACTGGTGTTCGTCTTGATGATTGTTCCAAATTTACTTACATGTTCTGTACCTTCTTTTTTCTTATGTCAAATATTGACCACTCTATGAATTATGAGATGTTTATATGCTAAATTGGTCACTTAGATATAGGTGTTGTAGAATTTGACTTCTGAGCAAATACAGCCTCAGTATCCACAGTACATCTTGCCAGCATTTGGAGATAGACTCATGAATACTGCTAAGTGATCTGCCTCAAAATTCTCAGAATGCATTACTCATGCTTTTCACCACGCCCTTTCCACTGTTAATCATTTCCATATCAAAGTAATTCCAATCTGCCTATAGTAAATATAAACCACTTGTTTGTTTTCTTTTACTCAGATTTCCTATGTGACTGTGTACAAAAATACTTTCCTAACTTACGTGTGGGACTTTGTAGAGCTCCAAAAGTGTTCCAATAGCAGCAGAAAATTTCGGCCTGGTTCCTGAAATGAGTCCTAGAGCTTTGTGTTGTGTTTTGCATTTGTAATTAGGGATAAAATCACTCCTTCCAGACAAGAACATCAGAGGGCCCTCCAAGGTTCTTTTGCTAGAATTAAAGGCATTGTAGATATGGAAGCCCATGGTCACATTAGGAAGCAGTTGTGAGTCCTTATTGATTTCCTCAATGGCAAAGTATAAGGTCAGCATAATTTGATAGTTTTTCCATCTTGATCTAAACACATAGGGATAGAACAATGGGTATAGTCAGTCAAGTTTCTTTAGAAATTTTTTATCAAATTCAGGAACCTAGAGGTCTCAGTCCTTGACTTTTCTTGTGACATATAAAGTTTCTGTGACTAAGTCCCTGACAACTCAGGAGCATCATGGAATGGCTCCTAAACTCTCAGAAATTAAACTGCATCTAGTAATTGTTTTCTTGCTGTGCATTGCCATTTGTCTGTGTCCTATGACTGCTGAATATATAGGTGCTGATGATGTTTCTGTTTACAGAGGCATTGGGATATGGAAGAGTTACTAAGGTGTTCACTAGGAATGTGAATAGCCACCTCATGTTATTTTGAAATGATTCAATCTCATACTCACTTAAAAAATTGTAACATGTTTGTTTTTATGCATTTTTAGTGTTAAAGTGTCTTTGGGGGGGGGATAGACAGATGTCCAGGCATCTAAGCACACTGACCCCTTTGAATAAAAGCTAGTATCAGTTCTCAATGCCCACAGGGTGGCCTTGGAACCATGTGTGGCTCTAGGTCATAAGATCCCTTCTGGCATATTTGGGCACCAGGCACACCTGTGGCATCCACACACACACACACACACACACACACACATATATATATATATATATTAAGCACTCAAGGACATGAAAAAATATATACCTGTATAAAATAATGTTCTGGGGCCTTGAGAAATGACTGAGATGTTATGACTACTTGCTTCTCTTGGGGAGGAACCTGATTCAAGTTTCAGTAATCACTTTTAGGTTCTAATAATATGTAACACCAGTTCTAGGGGATCCTTGTCCTCCACTGGCCTCTAAAGGAACCATGAGCACAAGTGGTATATACACAAACATGTAGGCAAAACACTTGTAAACATAATGTAAAAAATAATAAATCTTTACAAAAATGTAAAAAAAAAAATAGTAGTAACTAACGGAAAGGTTTCTCAAAGTTTGATGATTAAATGAAGGAGTAGAGTTTCCTAGGTAAGGCAGTAAAAGAAAAAAGTAAGTTATACTACCATATAAAAGAGAGGAAACCCCCAAGTACATTAAGACATTACAAAAGTGATCTCAAGAAGAAGAAGTGTAACTTTGTTGCAGGTAGATGGTCTCACTCACAGCTTTCAGTGTTCGGGGATTGATCCTTAGAAGCTTCTTTCAAAACCTGTGGTAAAAAAGAGTCTGGGTGACACTTAGAGAGGGAGATTAACAGAAATCATGAACCTGAAGGCCACTGGGTTCTACTGAAGGAACAATTCTGCCTTCAGATCTGCCATCACCAGGAAGAAACACCATTTGGTTGTACTACAGTAACCTGAGATATATGGCCAGATGCTATGTTAAGAGAGAATCTATTGGTCAACACCAGGCAATTAGGAAAAACTGAGAGAAAGAAAATGAGTCTTTCCCAGGGGTTATCCCACAGGAAATATTGAACTGTATGAATGTGTACATGTATCAGTGAGATCTCCTGGAAAGACCTTTGTCTGCAAAGACTGGCTATAAAAACATTAATGATGTGGAGAAATTAGAATGTAATAGTTTTAGGGGTTCATTACCATAGTCCAGGATACCTGCAGAACCCCAAATAACCATTTCTTGGACACCTCTGCTTTTGAGTTGATCTCCTATAGATAATGAATAAAATAATTTTGGAATGTAGTAAGCCAACATACCGCTGGCTTCTGTCAATCTAAAAGACAAGAATGGCATCATATAATATCATGGGTCTGTATATTAACTTTCTCCATCTTGCTGTTAACCTTCTCTCTGATGTTTCCAGAAATGTATTGGATTAATAGCTTTCTGTATTCTGTTACTATGAAAACTGCAAGAAGCTACTTCCACTTTACAACATGGAATTTGGGATAACCTAAATTGTGTTCACAGACTCTGAAATTTATTCAACAATAAATTCTCTCTTTTTTTCGATTTTATCTGAGGGCTCATGTTTTTCTAATCACATAAAAGTAATACTAAAGACTAAACAATGAATTCAGTTGGTTATATTTATATAATTTTTATTTATATAGGTGTGACAGGAACTTTCCATGAAGATCATCAGGGCCATTCAAACAGTGACCAGAGGTTTCTACAGAATCTGAAACACCCACAAAGGACAATGCATGGTCTGGACTTAGGTCCTCTACATATAAGTAGCTGATGGGCTAATTAGGCTTTATTTGGGCCCAGTAGTTAGGAGAGTGGGAGATATTTCTGACACGGACTATGTTTTCTGTTTGTTGATCACTTTCCACTAATGGTACTGCTCTAACAGACCAAAGGGGAGGAAGATGAACTGAGTCATCATAAGACTACAGGAGCTGGGGTGCGTAGTTATGGGACAGAATATGGGAGGGTGATGTGCGAGAAAGAGTTGGATTGGAAGGAGAGGAGGGTGTGGCATATGACTAAGTTGTAACTTGACTTAATAAAAAACATTCACGTGAAAAATCATGGTAATCTATTAGATGCTCTCCCCTCAAGTCCCTCAGAGAGTTCTGCTGAATATGGAATTAAGGAATTCAATGAAAAAGGCTTTCTCTGACAGACTTCATGAGTCAGTAGCTATGCTTACCCACAAATAAGGTGGGAAGAAATGGCCTTTTCTTTGATCATATTTCAACTGTGGTAATGATGAACCATGAATTGCCACATGCTTCTTCCACTAATACATCCCTGCCCAAACTATGGACATTGTTGAGTTAAATGCCATACTTGGCCTGGCCAAGGTAGGATAATTTTCCCATGTTCCTCCTCCATAAAAAAATCTCTCAGTCCTCACGAGTCTGGTGTTTGGAGGCTGATGATGCCCTGTGTGGCAGCTGAAACCTTAATTCTGTTTTCTGTGGCATCCAAAAGCTGTCAACCTCTGCTCCCTACAAAGTCTTTGAGATTGCCATGGAGGATCCCAGACAGGGTGCTCAGGTGTCCATTAAGTATCTGTCATTTTGAATCATATAGAGGCCATTTGGATTATACTCCCTGTCACTTTTACCCCTCTCAGATCTCTGATGTGTTGACAGCAAGTTGTCATGACAGAAATTTAGCAGAAGTAATAAAACCTTAGGCACCTTCTCTGAACAAGGCTGCAGCTGCATGGTCCATCCATATCATGCATGAAAGTCAGGCCTTGTTTGTTTCTACAGCTCCTAGGTTCCCTGCTGAAGAAGGCATTACGTTGCTGTGAAAAATCTAATCTCACAAATTTAGATTTAAATGAAATTCAAACAGAAGCTACTAATACCTAACAGTTTGTTTTTTATGGTTCTTTCATTTAAAAGAACTTGTTTGTCTATCATTTCTCCTAGTAATCAGACATCTTTGTCTCCTGGTAAATGCCTGTAGGGAGGAACAAACACTTTAAAGTTGATGGAAATTTTGAATGTCTAAGAAACTGATTTAATGTATGTAAAGGCAAGTGTAAATGTCTGAGAAATTGGTTTAAAGTATGTGAAAATGAGACTTAAAGATTTCAAAATTTCAGAGTTTTAAAATATGAATCAATGGAGTCCTGATATGCTATGAAAACCATCAGGTGATAGCACTGGCTTCTCTCTCATAGTTACAGAATCAAACTTTTTAATGTCCTTCCATTCCTGCTGAAGATATACTTCGATGTTTCTCATTGTGCTGAAAACTTAACTGTCATTACATATTCAAAGAGAGGAAAGGCTTTTCATTTTTTTTAAGCCCAGAACCATACTTTTTGGTGCCCAAGCTTTAGCTGTAAAGCATGAGTCTACTCCAGGTGTTTACAAACACTTTCTTTTCCTATAATGGGGGTTTCATTGTAGATTACAGATTGTGGTCATGTTAATATATTTAAAACTTTTATATCTTCATGTAAACTTTAAAAAACTATAATTTAAGCTTCAAGGAATTGAGACTTCATCCACTTATTACAGGTCAAACAGAATCTAGATTAAGACTTTTGTCAATTAACAATTCAGTCTTTTCTATCTCTTGTCTATATTTGTGCATGGGCTCTTTCATTCCTCCTGTGTTGGGATTCCTTCTTTCACCAGATGGAGTGGGCTACTGAACTATCGTTTCTCTATCTTGTGAAAGCGTTCCTAAATGGTCTTTACTTCTAAAATAAATTAGTTTTTTTTTCTATTCAAATATTCCATAACAATACAACTGCCTGGATGACAGGCTTTTATGTTTTTTTCCTGCTCAGAGAGGAAATGTGTATTGAGGTTTCAAGAAGACACTTCTCAATAAGTGACCATTCTAATCCCGAAACTCATGTTCAAATGAACAGATTTACCAATTATAGCATCTACAGAGAAACAGGAATATGAAAAGGCTTAATGAATCCTCCACATTATCATAAATAACCAACAACCTAACACACAGTTTCTCAGAGAGATAAAGTGGCAGACGAATACTTCAGAAAGTAAAGAGATGAACAACAGACAATAAGACAGAACCAGGCAATGAATTTAACTGGGCATAGAGAAAAGATTCGACAGTCTTCAGGAGAACTTGAATGAGGGATAGAATAAACAGCAATACACAGGAAATAGTACCATATAAGACAAATCCTAAGACAAAATTGAGATTCTGGGAGAGGGGAAGGACAAATAAAAAGGTTGGAAATGAAAATTGTAAAGCCTCTAATCAAATCACAGAACACTGGGTTTCCAGCAGAGCTTACTAAGCAGAAGACATAATATGGGCACGAAAGACATGATTTTCAGAAAACTACATTACAATATCAATGATAAATGAAAAGTCATAAGTATGACCACAGTATCTAAACTCTGAGATACTTTACAGATACTAAAGACATAACATGTGAAACTGGAAATTCTAAGATTTGTACTGGGGACATAGGGATATTCAAGTGCACTTTAGGAGAAACTCTGCAACTCTCTGGAAAGAAACCGATATTGAAACATAAGACATTTAGATGGGAAAATAGAGTTGAGAAGATGGAAACTTATATTGACATATTAGAGTCAGTGTTTTAAATATATGTA